CTGAGGAAGAAGGAGTGGCAGAAACAACATATGATGAACTGACCACAACCCCCATTCCCCATCTCCCTGCGCTGCTGCAGGGGGAAGGTAGAGAAATTAGAAGTGAAATTAAGTTTAGGAAGAATGGAGAGGTGGAGGAAGGTGTTTTAAGATTTGGGTTTGGTTTTCATTATCCTACTCTGATTTGATTGGTAGTAAATTAATGTCATGTCTGTTTTGCCCATTATGGTAGTTGCTCCCTGCCCTTATTCCAACCAATGAGCCATTCATTCCATTTTCTCTCCTCTGTCCAGATGAGGAGGGGAGCGACAGAGCAGCTTTGGTGAGCACCTGGTGTGCAGCCAGGGGCAACCCACCACACACTGCCACCAAAGAAGATTTTACTCCCTGAGCATTTCAGCTGAAATTCTCTGTTAGCTGAGATGTGGACCCTCTTGGCACAAGAGGGTCTGAATATGTCCGAAGGCTGGAAATGTTTCTTCGGTTCTGTTAGTAACCTTTCATCAAAACACAGCCCAGGGATTGTTGTAGGGAGACATAGGCTTTCCCCACTTAGGGGGAATGGATAGTGAGCATCTTCGCTGACAGCTATTTTTGTGTTTCATAGGGCTAATTTGCAGTTCGGGTACAGAGTAGGCAGGGGTACAGCAAGGAATGTTGAGCAGATGTGACAGAGTGATAACATCCTTAGCATAATCCAGTATCACACAGTTGTGGAGTGCTAAAAATACAACAGGAATTCTCCAAGGCCCAATTCCTTCCTCGGAGTTGGGCATCTCTGCATTGCCATGCATTTAGACTGCACTAAATCAGTGTAATCCTCAGGCTTCGTTCATTTGTGAACTGCTGTGAATGCTCCTAGGAGAATATCAGCATCATAGTTCCACATTATAAGGCAGTTTTTGACAGCTTTTAGATTGATGTTTTGGTTTATTCACCAAATGAAGAATTTGCCATTACAGGCATAACATTTCTCTTGTACTGCTGTACAACATCCTTTTAGGGTGTTCCTTTCAGGCCTTGGTAACATGCTCTTACGATGTATTTAATGGAATGTATCCATGTAGTACCCAGAGTGCGCATGGACTGTGACTTCCTGAAAAATCACCTGAGAAGGGTTTCCTGAGGCTCAGTAACAATGTGAGGCTTCAGGAGCCTGAGCCTCCTCCTGTTCTTACATGGCTGCCATCCCTCTTGCCCAAGAGGACAGGCTGAGAGAGCAAAGGCTGAGCAAGAGGTTGCCCTGGAACAAGGCAGTGCAGCTGTTGCCACTCTATGAACAGCAGTTTTTGACCTCTTGGCCTCCAGATTTTTTTGTTGAGCAAGTCATCTTCTGGTGTAAGTGAAACACATCCTATTACTCTGCACATGACTGATTGAAAAAGGCTTTACTTGCTGGAAAGGCAGTTGAACCATATAGTTTCCACTTACAAAGCACTTTCCTTAAAAAGCTTCTCAGGGCAGCATCATACAAAAATAGTTTTACTGAAGTTGTGAACCAGCTTCTGACAAATCAGGGCTAACAAAAACTAACGTATAAATAGAAGTGTTTTCGTGGGGTTTCTATTTTCTAGAGGCACAGAATCTCAATCAGTTTTGGACTGTAAGAATCAAAATTGCCCTTTTCCAGACACACAGGAAAACAAGAACCTTCCAGACTAGTGGCACAGAATATAAATAGGTTTTCAGAACTGCTTCAAAACCATAAAACTTAGTCAAAAACCATGGCATTTGCATTTTAGAATGAGCCACACCATATCAGACTTTTTTTTAAATCCAATTCTTTATGTTATTTGGTACAAACTAGCATCTCCTGCTTTACAGAAAGGTTAAATAAGTTATACGTTTATAATTATGGAATGAATTGTCTCCAGGCACTCAAGGATATGAGGATTATCTCAAAGTCTGCAGTGTATTAGGATTCCTGGAAGATGAATGCTGAAGAATGCAAAATATTGCATACTCTGTGCTTATATTTGTCAGTGGGCAGAATAAATGCACCTGACTGGACATTTTCAGAATTTATTATTTTTGTGAAGGGGGTTAGAATGATTTTTCTTATAACAGGTTTCAAAATAGCTCAATATAAAGCTACTATTTGCTATTCCAGTGTTTGGCTAATCTTGATTTTACTCTGAGCCTGTTCCTTCTTCTGCTCTGTGCCAACCTCTTCTGAACCTACCAAACCCAGGGTAGTTTAATCCACAATACCAAAGAAGGAAGGTCTGTTTCTGTCAGCCAAAAATAGTTCTTACTGCAGTTAACCTTGCAGCTGAATCAGTTCTGCTATTGCTCTTTGAGTCATGTCTGACCAGTCATGTCTGCACAGACCAGAAGCAAAGGGTGGACAGGGTATCTACATAATCAATCTGATGCATGATGCTGTTCTCAGTGCAGCAGCTCCTGTATGGAAAACACCCCCTACAAAATGTTTACTTACCAACAACTGAATTTATGATACCCTTGGGGTCTGTAGCAGCTGAGCTTCAGAGATACTGACTGCTTCGGTCTACGCATGGGAAGTAAGGATTTCAGCAGAAGTTTACTGGCATCAAATCTTTCTCTGTGTTCTCCAATCACCCTGTAATCTTCTCTCTTGCAAAAAAGAGTGCTAGAGGGCCTTTTCCCATTCTGCATGGAACTCAGCTGTTCACCTCTTTTTCTGCTTTTAGAGTCATTTATCATTGCTCTGCCTCACCAAAAGGGATTTCTTACAACCTCAGAGCATTCCCCACAAGCAGAATGGCACAGTAGGATTGCAGGGAGAACTTTCCATTCCATTTCACTGTCATCCAGACTAAGACCTGGGTGACATGTGGCTAGTCCTTTTTTTTTTGCTCCAATAGCCAACAGTGCAGCAATTATTTTTAAAAAATCAAAACCACAGTATTCTACTCCACGCTGCTGCTGAGTAATCATTTATGCTATCTGACACCAGATATTCTGAGTATTCCTCATTAAAATATTTGGCCACTTCCATTTCCCAGTAATCACTGTATGAGAGAGATTTGATGTAAAAATGACGAGTTCTTCCTGCTAAAGCTACAGCAGATCTGTATGCTGAAATTCTGTTTCGATCTGTAACAACAGCACCAAAATAGCTTTAATAATTAATCATGCACTGATTAGATTACAAACTCTGAGATGGGCTGGAAAATTTTGTATTATGCATCAGACAAAAGACACTGGCAATGCTTAACTAGCAGTCACCTGCTCCTGCTCCACCTGCCATTGTGGGAGCACTCCGGAAACCAGAAAGCAGACAAAGGCCCAACAGAAATTGATAAAAACCTTCACCTGCCCCTGGTATGTTCAGGAATACAGAACTGTTGAAACAGGTGCTGCTACAGCTGCACACTGGGGTACAGCTTTGCTATTAACTTGTCTTTTGCCAGGCAATGCTCTCCATTGTACCCCAGTGGAAAACAGTATCCAAACTCCAGGCTCAGTGGGAGTTAAGCAGGGAGTTTCCTGACTGGGAACACCAATGCAAACAGCCGCTGGGCAAGGGCTGGGCAGGGAGGGCCAGGCATGGGGTGGGCACCGCTGTCCTGCGCTCACCCCTTCAGGGTTCCCTTGCAGTTGCCTCACTGCCCTACCCTGTCAGCTCCTTCTAACATTATGAACAGATTTCTGTGGAAGTGGCATTGTTTTGCTGGAATTATATTATATGCAGCTGATTTTAGGGTAAGTAGGAGTTTAAGACTGAGAGCCACTAGTGCTCAAAATTGGAAAATTACTTCCCAGCCTTAACTTCCATTAGAAACTTTGCTCAGCTGTTGTAACTAAGTTTTTCCAGGCCCTTTGCTCTTGTCCTATGACTCTTGGGGCCTATACAGCTACAGAGGCAAAACCCCTCTGGGGAGATAGTCCATATGCTGGTTCTTTAATGAAGGAAGATGCCACTGGGGTGTCCAGTGTAATGCATTTACTGGTATAAAAGTATGCTATAAAAGGGAACCTTAGGACCAGTTTTCTGGTACCAACAGGAATTGGTATCAGTCTGGCCTTAGAAATCAAGCCAGTTTTAGGGGAGGAGGGGGAAAGGACACAGTAGACTGAAATAAACAAATCAAGTTTAAAATGTTAATCAAGTTAACTTTTGCCAGTTGTTGGGGACACTACATAGCACTGAACAGTACAAAACAACATGTATTGTTAAAAAGCACTTGGGTGGCACCAGCTGTTATTCCCTGCGGAGCAAAGTAGAACCTGTGGTATCTGGGCAAGAGAATCAGAGCCAGCCAGGGCACGGCCAGCACCCGTGTGGGGCAGGTGTGTTCCCTGCATCCTCAGGACTCCCACAGGGCAGGCAAGGAACAGCCTGGGGACAATGGGGGGCTCAAGAGGGACACAGCTCCCACAGCTCCAGGTGAATGTCACTGGCCTCCACCTCCATGGTCAAACTCAGCACAGGTGGCAAAGCTTGTCCCAGGAATAAGAGTGGTTTTTGTGGCAGACTCAGCATAGGCTGTTAGTGGGACTGTGTTAATGAACAACAGCTAAATTCTGGAAAATGTATCGTTCTGCAACAAGGAATTTACGGACACCACAAACCATATGGCTTATTTTTTTCCCCTTTTCTCTGCCCCTTCCACCACTGACCTTTATGCAAAACAGAAGTTAAATGAGAGAAAAATAGCTTTAATGAAATATTCAGGTTGAGAAATCAAAATGAGACACTGCAACAACAGGAAATTTCAAAAGCAGTGTTTATAACAGCATCTTGCTGGGCGGTGGCACACTTGCTTTTGTTTTTCTGTAAGTTTTAAGCCATATTATAGTGTGCACCTTGATTCAGCAGCTGGGCACAAGCACAGTATCATGGCATTAGTTTAACTTCACAGAATATCCTAGGCATAGAAAAGTGAATTGGATTCAACCCCTGAACAATTTCCTGACCCCTGCAATCAGAGCTGCAACTTCTGTCTTTCCGGTGAAGGCATCTGAATTGTTTCCCTGTGCAAGTACACTTAAGCTTGTTTGTTATTTTATTCTAGGGAGCTGGAGACAGTTTTGTGGGAGCACTGGCCTTCTACCTGGCTTACTATCCCCAGTTATCCATGGAGGAAATGATCAGGAAGTCTAACTGCGTCGCATCAGTGAGCGTCCAGGCATCAGGGACACAATCTTCATATCCTTACAGGAAGGACTTGCCTCAGGACCTTTTCTAATTGTCTAGCTCATTGTACTGATTTTATCTTAGACCAGACAGCATTATTCTCCTGACTGCACTGAGATTCTCCTGTGCTGACTGGAAAGGCCAGGAAAGTCTCTTTGCTCCTAATTTCAGGAATCCTGTGTGTTCCTGTTCTACAGCAATAAGATGGGGTGGGGGTGGTGGGTCTTTCAATGAAAACACAGCACAGCAGGTCTCTGGCCCCACACACAGCCCTTGGGCTTGTGGCCATCTCACACAGTGTGCTATACTAAACTACATTAAGTTTACAGTAAAACGTCTGGAGGGTATTGGGCTCCTGGCAGTATTTTCACTTGATTTTATCAGAACTTCTGATGAACAATGGCAGCACATGAAGCAGAGCGTTAGCTTTGAGACTGCAACTTGAGTCCTCAGGTGCAGACACCAAGGGCAGCACTTGGCTCACGACACAGTGCCACACATCGAGCCCAGGCCCGTCTGTGCCCACGTGCCTCAGACACAGGCTGCAGGGCTGCACTTCCCCACGCTCTGAAAGGTGCCTCCAACTGGAAAGAGGACAAGAGTACTGCTGAGGTAGACTCTGAAAAATGTTTTCAGCCTTATTGCACTAAACATAGGTGAGCTAATTAAGGAAGAAAAGCTTCCAAAAACATCAGAGAGCTACTTTGTCTGTCTGCCTACTTCAAGCTTGACTAAAACCCAGGAGTGAAAAAAATCCATCCTACATACCTGGCTGAAAATAATACAACCCTTTTAGCCATAGTCATGGCTTATCCAAAAACTCATCTTATTTGATTATGTTCCCATTACTTCTTTCCTCAGAAAGAGCTGGTGTAACATTACCCCTCCAAGGAATGACACCAGTTCGTGGTCACTACTGTCGCATCTGTGGCTGGTAGGTTAGAAAAACTTGCAATCCTGCCATTGAATTCCTGAAAAAAAAGGTTAATTTGCTTTATAAAACAATAGTTCCTTTGAAGATTACTGCCTCTTTCACAATGGAAAACACAGACAATGGGATTTGCTATTTAATTTTTTTTAATTGAGTTCTGTAAAAATAACTCAAAAGATAAATAAATGTTACTGTGATGATCTATGTCCAGACATTAAGAATTTTCTCTCTCTACATTGTTTTATTCACAATGGCCTTCAAATCACAGGAGACGGTGATCCCAGTTCATTTCCTCCCTTTCCAGCCCATGTTGCTGGATTTCTGAATCAGTGTTCACCCCGTCCTCCCTGCAAACCATCCCCTCCTCATGTATAAATCACGTCCAGTCATTGTTCACATAGAGCGGATTTTTCTCTTCTCTGTGAAGAGGACACGTTGTTTTGCTATAAGGGGAAAAAAAAGAATCTGTTAAGAATCCTGAAGTGTTAAAATTCAATTCAACAAGCCCACGTCCCTTTCTCCTGGCTGCCTTCGCTGCTTAAATGAGTGTGGAGCAACTGACTGGCACAGTGCTCTTGTTAACCAGCTCCTGAAGGAGTTAGTGGTGCTTTCACTTTGCCACACGTAATTTTTAGTTCCTAAGAAGTCCACTTTACCTCTGTGAAACTAAGTATCAGAATCTGAGTGACTGCAAACATTGAACAGCTGCTCTGTGTGACTATTCTGAGTCACAGCTGCTTGATGTAGGGACAAAAATAGGTTCTTACTGCTTTCTACTACTCTTCAACTCCAGAGCCCAAACAACTGCAGATGATGAGCTGAGATGGATCTAGCTGGTCTGACAGGCTGACCGAGAAGTTAACCAAGTGTCCTGTGGATCTCTCCACAAGGCACAAACTGACCCTGCCCCAGCACTCGATGCAGGTATTGGCAAAGGCACTTCAGCTACAGGTTAAGCATAGCCAATACATTACTAAAACTCCAAAATTAAAAATAAAGCAAAGCTATACAATGCCATCTGAAAAGCACCACTGCTTGACTGGACTTCGTTAGATGAATTCCTTTGAAAGCTATGCAAGAGCAATCCACACAGTAACCAAATCTCTTCTTCCACATAAAAGTTTCGTTTTAAGAAATACTGGAGCTTCGTAACACATTCTGTTGCTGCACTTAGGAGGTAGTGAAACTTGGGCACTCCTGCCACTACTTCACTAAAAGCTTCATTCTGTGCAGGTCCCAGGTTTCCGAGAAGTACAAAACATAAGGTGAAAACGCATGCCAAGTGAAAATGCTTCCTAACATATTCCTGATGTGAGTTGTTATCTAGGCTCAAATTTACTTCCCTTCACACATGCAGCACTTTCTCACATCAATTTCTCACTTGTGTTCTACTACAGGCTACAAAGATCAGAGCTTTTTTTTCTTAATTACTTCCAATTTTGTACTTCAGCAACCTACTACATGTTCTGCCTGAGCTCTCTCTTCACTTTCCTATAAGTTGCAAAGTTTATGGAGGATCACTTTGTACAATGTTTCAATGCAATAATTTAAATCTTTTCTTATGCAAGAAATAATCCCAGTGATCTCCAATTCCCCTTCTGCATGGAATTCAAAAGGAAAGCCACAACCTCTTTGTCGGCTTTGATGAGAGCATATTGTGTCTCTGGTGGTTTCTCTCACCTGTCATAAAGCTCTTGTACTGTTAGCTCTGAGAATGTAACAGGAAGATGATAAAATTCTATGGAAAAATAAGGTTGAATCACATAACTACTGGCCATGTTATCTATTTAGAACTCAATAAATTTCTTTATTCTGTAGCTTTAAATAAGCATTTTGTTGCATTACCTCCACCATGCTATTCCTAGCATGGTCTGGTTTAAATTTTACATTTCCCCAAATTAAGCTTTTAAACATGAAATTAAGCATTTTAATGTTAACTACAGAAACCTGAACTCGTGGTCACCTTTCAGAGATTTGGGTGAGCAAAAGGCAGTTTGGCAAGTGCTATAACCCCCCCAAACAAATCAGATTCTTGAACTGAGAATATTTGCAAGGACCAGAGGAACATAAAAGAACCCACTAACTGGTGTCTGGAGAGCGACATCATTTGTGGAGAAGGAAGAACTTGTGTTTACTTCTTCAAAAGAAAAAGTCCATTTTGTAAGTGATGGTTAAAATTTATTGTCTAGAGCATCCATGGCAGCTTAACAGAACACTTCTGTTGATGCATACTTTGTGGCTGCTTGTTGGAGGTAGCAGTCTAGCAAACCACACAAAGAAACAGAATGAAAGAACTCCTGTGTCACTCGGCTTTGCCAGTGACATGTGGCATGGCTGTCATCAAAGTCTCTGATGTGTCAGGCAAGTCATTACATTGTTTCACTGCCACAATCTGTAAAATGAGGGTAACGTTTACTTCCCACTGGAATGTCATGAAGAACAGCAACTGTACAATCATCTGAGTATGAAACATGTTATGACATATTCTGCTTAGATGGGAAAAATCCTGTTACAGTCAAATCTTTTGCCCCACACACTCAGAGAAGCTTATACAAAGCACACTTGACTTCTTCCCCAAGCTCTTACCGATGGGATCATATTTCAGTAACACCAGCTTTTCCTGCAGTCGGAGTCTCCTGACGTTGAAACAGTAGCCTGTCTCAGCTGCACTCTTCATCCTCACCAGAACATACCTAAAGGCACAGGGGATGTCTCTGTGTCAGTGTACAGGCACACAGCCACGGCCCCACCACATCTGCAAGGGCACAGGCAAATCAACAAGCTTTTAGCCTGAACAACTGGGCACAGACACATAAGATACTTCATTTCAACTTCAGAGATGTTTCAGATGGGAGCATCAATACTATACGCTAAACTCACAGCACAAACAGCCCACTCACTATCAACCATAAGCTCCAGCATCAAGTTTAAGTAAGGCCTGACCAGGATACAAGCGCAGAGAGTAGTTCCTCCATAAAACAGTGTGGCAGGAGGAATAAAAACAGGAAAAGAAAAAACAAAGATGAAAAAAAAAGAGCATATAATTCAGTCACTATGGCTTAAAAGATAATGGCAAGAGAGGAAGGATGATGGTAGTTAAAGATGTTGGGGCTGTAGATAACACTGTATCACAGACTATCACTTCCACATGCAGAGAGGAAGCTGAGCAGATAGGCTGGAACAAGAGGCATGCAAAAGGAGAAGCAGGACCCCCCTTGGCACCATCCATCCTGCTTGATACAGGGCATGATGTTAACCCAGCCACGGGAACCCCCTTCCCCACTGGAGAGCTCTCAGTTTGTGAGGTGGAGTGGCAGCAACTGCAGTGTCCCAGGAGCAGGGCAAGGCAAGACAGAGAAAACCACCTCCAGCCTGGAAGTATGCCAAGATCTGCACAACTTCCCAGACACAGGGCATCTTAAGTTTCAAAAGAAAGGTCAAACCCTTTAACCAGTCTATAAATTACATCTTTTTCTCCCACTGCAATGGATACATTTCTGCATACGGGCATTCAGTTCACTTCCCACTCTCTTGGATTTTCCTGTTTCTAATACAAAATGGTCACAATTAACCCGTTCTTCCTCACTTGTGCAGCTCTGGCCAGTGTACTTCCTTGAGCTCTTCCTTCTCAGCTGTGCAATCTACTTTACTATTGAGTTCAAAACAAGCATAAAAACACTGGATTCCTGCAAACCAACTGACCAAGCGCATTCTTGGGATGATCCCCAGTTATTGTCCTCTCCTGTACATTACTGCAGGTGTGCTATGCAGCACCCATAACCACAAAGACTCCTTCCCCTATACCTCACCCACTTCCTCAAAGCCTCTGGGCAGTTTCCCCTTTCTAGGGGAATCCGTGGTATCAGTATGACCAGGCCTTGAAATTCTGGTGCACCACACATCTGAGGCCAAGCCCATTCCAAACATACCTTATTTAAAAAACTCACTCCCCAATGAAGAAATGTAACTAGGAGCACAGGCAGAAAGAGAAAACAACACTGGAAAGCTATTGGGGCATGGCAAGAAACCCAAGGGAGCACAGACGGATAAATAATGTAAGGAGAGAGCACGTTCCTGAAGTATGTATGGAACTGTACAAACAACACAAGAAGAAACATCAGGACAAAAAATATAAGGGGGCGTGTGGTGGAAATCCCTGCATTAATGTTAGTAACACCAGTGTAAAAAGCTACTTTTTCACATCTCGGAAACCTCTTGCTCTGCTGTGTTTGCTATTGTGAAC